CTATTATGCAGACAATGTCCAGGCTATAGTAAACGAGGCAGCAAAGTCTTTAAAACAGGGCAATGTCATAGCTTTACCAACTGATACCATATATGGTATTGCTGCATTAGCACAGTCAACAGTGGCYGTGAATCAGTTGTATGACATTAAAGAACGTCATCAAGAGAAGCCSGTTGCTATATGTGTAGGAAATATTGAAGACATAAAAAGGTACATGATTAAGCTAAGCATAACTTAAATGATTTTAAAGAGAGACGTTTTAGTTGAAGATCCAGGTTCCCACGGTCTTCTAACTTTAAAAACTGGCTGTCATGTGTAAGGGCTCCATAAGTCAATCAATRTTATTGCTATTTTTATTAAGTAATAGACCATTCCATACTATTTATATTGCAATTGACATTTGTAAGTTTCTTTTTATAGGTGGGGTCAAGTAACAGTAAGTGATGAATTGCTGCATGACTTACTACCTGGGCCAGTTACACTTGTCTTTAAGAGAACTAATGAACTCAAYRCTGGACTRAATCCAGGAAATGAACGAGTAGGAATTCGTATTCCAGATCATTCATTTGTTAGACAACTAGCCTTAGCATGTCAAGAACCAATGGCATTRACCAGTGCAAATAAAAGCTCAGGGATGAGTACTCTAAAGATAGAGGTATTTAAGAACCTTACAGTACATCACTAATGATTACAAAATGCACAAATTTATGTACAAAAAAGATATTCTGTTGGTGAAGACAGGGAATGATGATGATAATATGGTTGTAATTATGACATTGTTCAAAATGACGTTACAAGAATTTGGAAATGATCTGTAGTAGATAAACAAGGGAGGAATGTGGTTGAGGGAAAGTTCCACCAAATAGGGTATGCAGTTAGCGTCCTCTGCAGGCATCACTAAGAATCACTGTCCTCCTGTCTTTTTGAGGAATCAAAAGAGATCTTGTCACTAGTCCCTAACGGCCAAAATGACTGTTACAAAGGAAGCCCAAAGGAGGAAAAAAGAGTTGCCTGTGGAGTAGGCTAGGTATGCAGTGGTATTTGGCTTTTGTATCTTGAATATGGTAAACAATTGACCTTCAGTTGTCTTGAATGAGGTTGTACTTTTTCTGTTAATTTCCATGTCTTATGCAAGGTGTCGATGTTTATTAGCAGGCTATGAAGTCAAAATGAAAAAAGGAATGACATATCTTTCACGAGAAAACTATCTGGTTTATGTCTTATATAGGGTCTACATTCAACCATTTCATCTTGAAGGGTAGATACATGTATAGTGCAAAAAAACCCAGCTTGGATAAAGAAGTGTTTGGCCTGCATAAATTAAGAACCTAATGTGCTATTCGCTTGAAAAATAACCATTTTTTGATTTTCAACCAATCAAAAAGCAGCTTGCAATAAAATGTATATTTTTAACAAAGGAAAGCATTTTGAATATGTTGTTCACATGCTCTATGCAGGTGGAACTGTAACTCTAGTAGTACCAGGGACTGCAGAGCATATTTTTAGCTGGGGGCTAAAATAACAACGATGGAAGGCAAGACCAAGTACAGTGTGGACATGAATATGTTAAACAGTTTATAGCACTGTATTTTTAATTATTTTATGTTGTTCACATTGTCATTATTTGAATTTAACCCATTCTGTTATTCGTACCCAGGAGTTCTCAGT